GACCGGGGCTCGGACGCTGCCTGGAGCCCGCCGGGGCCCGGCCTCCCCCCACCGCCACCAGCATCCCGTTCCCCAACCCGGTCGGCCGGCCGGCCGGCGCGCACGGCGGTCCCCACGCCGCCGGCGTCGCCTGGGCCCTCTGCATCTCACCGTGTGGCATCGTCCCGCCTGCCTCCGTCCCTCCGAGCCACCCACGCTGCCGGCCGTGGGGCTCCCTGCCTGCCCCTTCCCCAGCTCCAGGGTCCTCAGCATAGTCCTGGGGTCCCCTTGTAGGTCCCAGAGCCCTGGGGTGGGTCAGTTGTGCCTCCGTCCCTCCGAGCCACCCACGCTGCCGGCCGTGGGGCTCCCTGCCTGCCCCTTCCCCAGCTCCAGGGTCCTCAGCATAGTCCTGGGGTCCCCTTGTAGGTCCCAGAGCCCTGGGGTGGGTCAGTTGTGTCCCTGCCACATCCCTCCACCTCTGGGACCCTGATGCTGAGGTCCCTTTACAGCGCCCAGAGCTCCAGGGTGGGTAAGTGCGTCTCCAGCGGTTGGTGACACCAGGACATACCACAGCTCTGCCACCTCCCTGGCTTCTCTGTGCCCTTCTGGCCAGTCCCTGCCTCAGGGAGGGTTAAGCCTGTGGCCATCCTGGGGTCCCCAGCCCTGTCCCAATCTCTTGCCCATTTTTATTAGGATCTGTAGAAGCTGGGTGACCCCCAACACCCACCCAAACCTGCATGGCCCCATCTCCACCAGCTTGTCTTGGGCAGCCCTGGGTGTTGTGAAGATGGGAGGGCAATTAGGGGAGAAACTTGTAACAGGGAAAGGGTCTGGAGTGGTCTCGGCTCCCAAAAGACACATCTGGCCAGGTTTTTCCCCATCACCCATGGCTCCAACTGCTACATGCGGCTGCAGGGTGCCGGCGGAGGATCCGCTCTTGAGGCAGCCAGGCAGCGTGCCAGCAGCGGGCACCAGCTCTGCTCCATGAGTCCGATGCTGTACAGCCAAGCCACCCATCAGCCCGTGACCTCTCCTGCGGTGTT